ATTTATTTATTTATTTATTTATTTATTTATTTATTTTGAGAAAGCATGAGCAAGGGAGGGACAGAGATAGAGGGAGAGAGAGAATCCCAGGTAGGCTCCAAGCCATCAGTGAGGAGCCTGATGTGGGGCACAATCCCATGAACCATGAGATCATGACCTGAACCAAGATGAAGAGTCAGACACTTAACCAACTGAGCCACTGAGGTGCTCCTAGAAATAAGTTTCTAATCAAACAGGTGGAATCACACTTTTTAGAATTAGGACTAATCAGTTCATTTGTACCTAGTGACTTCCTGATTAGTACTGCCAAATTTTACCCATCCCACAATATATACTCAGCAACTTTAAAACAGTATTTAGATCTATTAAGATTCTTAGTACATGAAGCAATGCGGATCTCAACTCATAAGACCATATGATTAAATCATTTTTAAGTTTTGAGGTAATCCAAATCCACAGGAAAAGGTCACAATTTAAGTAATAAATGAGTGTATCAGAAGAAAAAAACTGGGTGGGTTAGTCAGTTGAGCTTCCTGCTCTTGGTTTCAGCTCAGGTTAATGAGTTCAAGCCCCACATCAGGCTCCACGCTGACAGTACAGAGCCTGCTTGGAATTCTCTCTCTCCCTTTTTCTGCCTCTCCCCTTCTCTCTCTCACAAAATAGACTTAAAAAAAAAAAAAAAGAAAAAGAAGAAAAGAAATAAATGATTAACATTACCACAATGAATGTCAACAGAGATGTTCTCAACCCCTCTCTTCACTGTTCTTGGTCGACCCTGTTCAGTGGGTGTTGAACCCCATTCATCAGACCCTGCAACTGGCTGGTAATGCACCATAAGCTTAAACAGAAAAGATCAAAGCATATATAGCAGATATATTCTACATTATAGACATCTCTATTTATCCCTCTTTGTGAAGGACAGGAACATGTCTTTCAAAACATAATACATAGTCAAATCTCAACTACAGTTTTGACATGCAACTCGAGTAGCCTGAAATGAGAACCCTGAAATTATAGGCCAATGTGTTACACATTAAATACCTTATAATTTTGTCAATTACACCTCAATAAAGCCAAAAAAGAAAAAAATACATCAGACTAACAGATCTTTCAATAATACCCTACACATGTAAGATATGCTCACATGTGTGATATTCTTAATCTACAGTGGCATAATTTTCACTAAGAAAATTCTTTTGTATAAGCTGAATGAGGTAAAAAAATGATGGCAGTGGCTACAAGTTTTAAGATTCATAATTGTGAATGCAATATAAAAATTTCCATAGATTAGCCTAAGTAGAATCCCTATGAAAAAGAAACCAATTAAGTTCTCCTTACTAATGCAATTAACCTTTAATCCCACATGAAAGAAAGGTTTCATTTGCTTCACCTTTGGATTGTGTAATATAATAATTTCTCTGTTAGGAGACTCCAGTTTCTTTTTCCATTCATCCAGAGTTACAGCAAGCATGTAAGTTTCCTTAAAAGAAAACACCTTTCATTAGATTTCTCTAATAGCTTTTCTATTAAAATTAAACTTTTTTTTTTACAAGAATACCGCTAGATAAATCACTACGTAAGAATATCCAACTCCAATTTATCAAATTATTTGAAAAATCTTTCAAAATTGCAACAGATAATAGTATAGAATAAAATTACTCCTGATTTTATCATCTAAACTAGATAAAATCATTAACATTTTGATATACTTCTTTCAATAATATTAATGTCTACTCCAACTTAAAGAAAGCAAATTCCAGACTGTTTCCAGAGCCAGAAAAATAAAAGGCTAAAATGACCAATCCTGTGGTCATAGTTTAAATATGAACAATGATCACCATTAGGGGAAAAAAATTTTAATTTAAAGACATAACAGGCATAAAGGCATAACTTTATCTTGAAACTAATTTGCAAAAAGAAATGCTATAAATGTAATCTGGATACAACCAAACTCTGGAAATTTCACTAAAATGAGTCACAGGAAAAGATTATTAAATAAGAGAAGGAAAAAAGTGAAATGGGGTCAGGGGAATACCTCTAATACTTGGCTGAAGCTCTCAGAGTAGGGAACATACTTATTATCTTTGTCTCCCTTGTAAAACCAGGTACATCGTCTCACTTCTGATGCTAGCTCATCCCAGTATACAGCGTACCGCATCCTCTCCCCCAAATGCACATCATATCTGCCCCCATCAGTGGGGACAACTCTGCCATTGCAATCTTTTCCTATCAAGGATTGGAAAAGGGAAAAGAAGTAGATATATTAAAAATAAACCTGCCAAAATACAATTCTGAGTTATATTCTAAATAACGTTATGAAACATACAAATTTTGTTTCTACCTGGCTAAACATTAAATAAAATGGGGGCACCTGTGTGACTCAGTCTGTTGAGCATCCGACTTTGGCTCAGGTCATGATCTCATGGTTCACGAGTTCGAGCCCCATGTCAGGCTCTGTACTGACAGCTCAGAGCCTGGAGCCTGCTTTGCAGATTCTGTGTCTCCCTCTCTCTCTCTCTGCCCCTCCCTTGCTTGTACTCTAGCTCTCTCTCTATCAAAAATAAAACATTAAAAAAAAATTAACATTAAACAAAATGGAAATAATATTTTTTTTACTACTTTATAAACCATCAAAACCATTCCTGGTTTCAATGATACATGAAAAAAATAATACCCAACATTGTTTTGTTCTTTTTCTGAGGAGATAGAACAGTGTCTCATTAAAAAAAAAAAAAAAAG